TCTTTGGAGATGCGAGTCGTTATTTGATGAAGCGTTGTGAAGAGTTAAGTATTATCGCTCCCACTTTTGTGGTGGACTACTGAATCCGCACCCTCCTGTACACATTTGACATACTTTTTTAATTAGGACTGAAAGACGATGTGTTACCTTTGGTGTGTATTTCTTCATCTAAATCTCTTGGGAAACACGGTGTTGGTTACTTCATCTTCGTGTTTAAAATCAAGCAACTACGGAGGTTTGCACTCCCGAGCGCTGTTGAGCTGAAAACTATTTTTTAAAGCAGTAAATTTTAAGTCACCTATATTTCCCAATAAGAAAGCTAGTTGTAGTTTATGGCTGGAGGTAGTCGTGGGGATTATATCTTTTTAATGGCCGGGTACCCTCAAGTTCGATACTTAAGGAGCTTGGCACTTCGTAAGCAGTGGTGAGGTAGAAAATACTTTATTTTTCAAATGCACCATCATTCCACAGGGTACCGACGCAGCACTAATAGCCACCATCTCTTGGCCAGCCTTTGCTATCCACATGCCGAGCATCGTTGAGGCGACGATGGAGCGTGTGGATGTGTTGAAGGGCACCTACGGCTACAAGCGCTTTACGCGAGATGGCTACGCCACAGTACTGGAGACCAACACGCTCTATTCACAGGGAGAGTTAAGCAAGTTCAGGGGCATTGAGAGCGAGTGGCCCATGTTCTTCGCCTATCAGGTGATTGGCAGCTTCTTCAACCAACAGCTAGAACGCGCGGAGCAATTTGCCGAGCTAATGGAGCCTTTGATTGTACACCCGGTCTCGGAGAAGTATCCATGGCTACCTAAATACTACTTTGTGCCCGAAGGCTCAGTGGAAGCAGAGCGAGAAAACCCGGGTTCGCAGGCGAGGAGAAGCAACTTCAAGTTGCATATGGAACCGCGGTTTTTATGGGGGCAGGCAGTCTACATCATCTCACAGATGCTCTGTATGTCATTGCATTGATTTTAACACCTTGTTCTCATTTTTCACAGTTTGATCCCTCGTGTTGTTGCTTTCTCCCATGTTCTTAGTTTCATCCATACCCTTTGTATTTCTACTCCTTTTATGCCATGAACTATTGCTGTACAAGATTCGATCACCTGGCGTTTTCCTTCAAGATGGCTTTCCTGCAAAATTGATCAGAAGCTATGGTCGGTTGAAGTGGATGGATGGAAGGCTGTTGAACTTTGCTAATGTTTTTCGCGGCAATTCGCCTTATTTTACGCGCTAGGATGTAGCCCATTTTACTGGTCACAGGAGGAGGTGGGGTCGTGACAATAACCCTCCTTTCACTTTAGTATAGTCAATTTTTGGCCTTTTGCACTACTCATCGTGTTATTTAGTAAAGGAATGTTGGGTTCATCATACTTCAATCCTTTGCGATCTCTCCGCGCGTTTAGATCTTATAATCAATTTTTGTACTTCACGGGATAGCTCGATACTAAAGTAGGCGAATTCTGTTTGTTAATTATTGTTTCTACTTCTCTTCCTCGTAATAAGCTGTAATTCTGCATGTAAACGTTCTTAATTTTGCCTTCTCACGGCTCTACGGTTTTGTCTGACGCGTATATTACGGGATGGATACGTGAATCATGTTGGATTTCTTTGAATTCGACTTGATCCACTATCTCGCGTAGGCTCCGTGGAACTGTTAGTCACGCTATCGAGACTGCATCGTCAAGCCTCTGATTTCACTGCTCTGTTGCCAACGCCCCAAAAGTAAAAACAATGATGCGGATACCACGCCAACTTCTCTTCCACATAAACTCCCTTGTCATGCCGTGGAATCTCCAACTGATCAACCAGTAGATCTCATTTCCTGAAAGCCTAAGTAGCCTTCATTCTCCAAGTTAGTAAAGTGAAATGGTAAACATATTTCTTAGCTACTTTTTTTAAACTATGGTTTGCACATCTGCACGCCTCATCCGCAAATACTTTGCACATTCTCATCTACTTTCTCCCCGTACTGCAGCTTCTGACTGCGCGCTTATTCTGCTTTGCTCACGTTTGTCCTTTGCCTTTCTGCTTCCAGTAAAAAAGGTTTTGACCATTCACGATTTGGATCCCCTCGGGCGGCACAGTCCTGCCAATACCCGACCTATGTCCCTTCTTTCACGCTACTCAACCATTACAGTAAGTTATAAATCTTTTCCTTTTCTTACTAATTGTCGGTGTCTTCTCACTAGGCCGTAGTAGTTATTTACAAGCAGCCGGTTGTTTTGTTAATTTATTGTCAGTACTGATCCGTTTACAATACCTACCGTTTATTTGTGTGGCCTTTGAATTGGGTCATCTTTCCGCATATGGCCATAGATTCACAATTTACTTGTAAGCTCATCTCAAAGCTAAAACTAAAGCTTAAAAAACTGTAGCCTTTTTCCTGCGGTTCAGCTGCTCATTATCACTTAAAACTAGTTTGAATGGGTTCATTTGAGCGAAAGGTAATGCCTATTTTCAGTCCTTCAGCTGTGTCGTGTAGTACACTTCACCGCTTCTTCATGCGAATTTCACTGAGGTTGCTTATATTGGTTTTTTCAGCCACAACGTTTTTCACAATGTCCTATTTTTGCTCCTTCAGTCTGTTAATTTGAAGTTATTTCTCTTAGTCATTTCTAAGAGCGGTAAACCCTATTCTCATTTCTGGGTATTTTTATTCGTACTCGAAAGTGTTTCAACTATTGTGCTCAAGTCTCCTTTGCTACGTCAATCTAAAATGTGGGGCTGAAACCGTCATTGTGGGAGTTCACTACAGCGTTCACTTAACCACCGCCACTGGCTGGTGTGGAAACGGCCACACTTTGTTGATACTAGCACTCACTTTATCGTAGCATGTCACGTTGATTAAATCTTCTCTGTTTATCGTTCCTTTTCGTAGTTAGCTTTTCATCAAATTGTAATCTGGGCGTGCAGATTTTTGTATTATCGGCATATACCTACAGAATGAAAATTTAATAGTATGCTGCTCTCTAAAAATGCAGCAGCGCTCCGTTTATCCCATTGAATCGCGAATAAACAATTATTCGTCTAGTCATCAAAAAGGGGTGTCGCAAGGCCAGTGATATTGGTTCGATGAAAAAAGGCAAGCCGTTGATGCGACAGTGCAATGTTGAGAAACTGAAACCACTATCTATTGCACGCAACACTTTTTTGCATGATCGGTTTGGTACATTTTAAGGTTATTCCCGGCTTCATGCTATTGTTAATACGTGACATGTGAACTTATGAATCTGCCAAAACCACTAGATTACTATGGTTCCGTTTTTATTTTTATGGCATGCTTAATCGAGTGTCCCACCTCAAATTGTGTGCTTTCTTTCTTGTAGTTCACCTGAAATTCTTCCTTACTCGATCGCAAAGTTAAGCTACAGTTGTAAAAGCTTCATTTCGGGTTCGTTGCCACCCGCTCACCACGTCTTTTTTTTATTATCTGTGTTATCAGAGCAGTGACTTGTAACTGTACTAATAACGAAGTAATTGCGCTCACTGTTTTACAATGGGTGCAAAAACTCCCAATTTTCATAAGGGAACCTATGTTGAATTAATCTTCATTCGGCTAAGTAACTACCTTAGTTATTAATCAGAATTCCACCCATTGGAAAAAAATGATCTTGGTGTCTGAGCTATTAAAGGGTTTGTCTGGGGTGTTTGTTTACTTAGCTCTTCTTCATTTTACAGAGTCGTCCGGCCACGATGTGCATTCAAATGATCCTTATCGCAGAGTCTAATCGACTTCAGCAAATTCTGGCCACTTATGGCATTCGAACTCAAACTCCTGTTGAAATTGAACCTCTGAAGGTATGTAAAGCTTTCTCTTTTTATGCTCCTCTTTGCTTTTTGTTCTCGATGCTCACCCTAAATTAGATATTTAATAGTGGAATCAGTGTATAGATCAACCGAATCACTCCTGTTAGTGGCGAGCCCATTCGCTATTGGGCAACTTGAATACCTTTGAAAGTTTGAGGCACAAATTACTGGGACAAATAACTAAATAAATAAATTCATCATTTTGTTTCCTTTAACAAGCGAAACACGCTGATGGAGTTGATATAGGGATTGCAGGTGCAAATTAACAGAGGTCTCAAGACAAATCAAATCTGAGTTAATTGTTTCATGAAAACGTCATGTCGTTCTTACATTTCTTCCCTTTGCAGAGCATTTTATCATTAAACTGACCTTTTTATTTGCCCGTTATTTGTGCATTAGGAGTTAAATTTTCTTGACCTCTGGTTTATTAGTTGGGATTTTTTCGGCATTGTCGATGTCTTGGACTTACAATTTCATTCAATTTTGCCGCTAGTGGACTTCTTGGCGCGATGACTATTTAAGCCATCATTCTACCAATGCATTTGTTCGTACTGCACTCCACGAACGACTGTGATTAGAGTTGCCCAGCGTAGCCTGGTATTATGTCCCTTCTTTAACAAGAATCAAAACGATAATAAATGGCCATCACGGGAGGACAAGGAAACACCGTAACCTATGCAGATTTCATTTGATTAACGCTTATAGCTGTGGCCTCCGGCGACAATTGTGAAAGCATTCGCCTTTATGGGTTTCAATAAACGCCTTGGCCTCAAAGGTCGTCCACCTCGACCTCTGGGCTGTTTGGGAACGAGCAAGTTCTACCGGTACGTATGCATCACCCACTTCTGTCGCCATCTCCAATATTTATTTGCCTCCAACTCCAATTGTGACATCTTTTAGTATCTGTGGCTCCACGGTTCTGGTGTTTTCACATCTTTTTGAGGACGATAGGTTCTACTTCAGCTACGATATTAAGGCCCTTATTGAGGAAGTTAAGGTGAGTTTTTAGGGTCACTTCACACTGCATTTAAAACATCTTTGAGGACCATATAAGGGAAGCAAATGCTTAATCAGTTTTTGCAATAACAGTGTTTAGTTTCAATTTAGTAATATTTCCTAAAATTCTAAGTACAGGGCAACAATCATACAATTGTGCGTACTGACTGATTTTCAGTAATTTTGTCGTAGCCTTCGTCGGTGATACTCCCTTTCAGAAGTCGTGTAGCCCTAGGGCCTCTCACCTTACTGACTCTAATCCTTGTCTACTTTTTCTTGTTCGCATGTAGAACGACCTTATCTTCTTGTCAAAGTGGTGGCGCATGAAAGGACGGCCCAGCTACTGCTTCTTAGTGAAAGAGGATATGATTATGTGAGTACGAAATGCTTTTTGTGCATAGAATTACAAAAGACACTTTATAGCTGAGCCAATTTGGAAGTCGAAAGGTGTTTTTGGTAAATCTTTTGTGCCTCACTACAGTTCCACATTTCAAATTTTTTTTCAGTCGAAGTTAGTCTCAAGGTAAGATGCTTACAACATTTCTCACTCACAAATGTTCTAGATTCATGGCTCAATTTTCGTGCCTTACACTTGGCTGGCACTTTCCAGTCTTCATATTCTCACCTCCTCCCTTTACCACTTTTTCTCACTTCCTCTAGCGGCCACGGTCGTGATGAATTGATTCGCTTCCTTGTCAGCCTGCAAGGTAACAGTATGGATGGAGTACGAATCGTTCTCGGTAGAGCTCAGGTACACATTACTTATCAATGCTTCCATTTGAAAAACTAGAGGTGCTAGATGATGCATTCACCAATCATTATTATTGACCCTATTTGAGTATGCGTGAAACAAACCTCTCCACCTACCAATGTCCAACTCATTTAACCTTCAGCGCTGAAAGCAGCGTAATTCTTACGCTATTGAAACAATGGCTTGTAAGCGGTTCTTCATTTAGACCGGTAACTTAAGCGCTTGAAAATCCCGAAAGCTCAAAAATGTGTAAAAATAGCATGAATTCTCGCAACTAAAATGGTAATTGCGATGTCTTTTTTATCTAGGGCGCCCCCTCTTCTACTGTAAAGATTGTTTCAGCCTTTGTAATGTTATCAGTCCGGCTGGATAAGGGAGTTTGAATGCGTACCCTTGTTTATTTCCAAATATTATGAAATATTAGAAAAATGTATGGGTCTTTGGTACCTCGCTATTTTCAATCCATTACTTAAGTTCTTAATCTGGTTTTTTAAGGGTAAGTTTGTACTCCATGGGTATCCTAACAATCAATTTATCTGGTCTACTTTGATCATAACTGCTCACTATTCACCGTACAGTTTGAGAATTGAGTCGACAGAACACCAGTTGCAGCTCCTTATTTATTGCCTTGAACAGATTCTTTGCGTTGTTATATTTTGGTAATTGTTGTAAACAACATAAAATGACTTCCACTATTCTTACTTGTAGAACTTTGTCGCAACAGGTTGCATCGACCATCTTGATTTCTTTCCGGATTGGGCGGCCCAGTTGGAGGAATTCAGCGGACTGAAACGGCTCCATGGGGGACGTTCCTTCCTTTCACTTTCGGACCTGCCTCGGATATTAGATGATAAGGACTTTGACAGTCTCATGCCCGCGCCTCTTGCGGTAGCCATCACGGAAGCCGTTAGCCGAAGTGTAAGCGGAGCAACTTATTTACTTTCAAGTGTTCAGAATTTGCGTACGCAAGAATGTTGAATTTCAATATGGATTTCGACCTGATAAATCAAAGAATGGCAGTTTATTTTAACCCTTAGGAAAGTCGACAGTGGTGGATGGATGATAGGCGAGAAACCACTTTTCAATCTTGTGATAATGTCATTAAGGTCATGAAGATACGCATGATCTTGTTGGTGAACGAACATTTGGGAATACTAACGTTAGCAGTGCCCTTGACTGAGAGTACCTAATGCCAATTCAAGACCTATGTTGTGCTGTATGCAGGCAGGCACTATGACCATTGGTACTGTAGGAAGAAATCACATGTGAAGATGTCTCGGGCGCAGAGAACGGCAAGTACTATGGTATTTATGCAAAGATACCTGAAACTAACAGTTTTTGCATCCTTTAAATTAAATAATAAAGAGGCAGTGGGCTATCAGAATGGTAGAAGGTGAGTAGATAAGCTAGCCCTTAGTTAGTTTGTCGCGAATTCGGTGGCTCTTTCAACTTGTTCCCTATAATGGTTCAAAGTGAATGAGGTAATTGGGAATTATAGGCACCTGCCAGCTGGGTTCATTACACTATTACATGAGGTAAATGATTACAAGAAGCTATTTGTTTTATTCACCGGAGGAATCAGTTCCAAACGTGTATTTCGACGGTTCTTCCATTGAGATGCATGTTGCGCGTTCTAATTTATCGTAAAGCTTTCTGCCTATGAAAGCCACAAACCAATTTTTGAGCAATTTTCTCCCCAATCACTTTCATTTCTCATTCCTTTGTCCTGCTTCTTCTGGTGTCATGCAATCTTAACGCCATGAAGGGGTAATCATTTTGAGATTCAGCATCGGGGGAAATACAGGAAATATTGGTGATGGTGGTGACAGAACTTCTCCTTTTTTCTCATGTCCTTAGGCGTAGTAATAGATCCTCTCACTGTTGTTGTGCTGTGGCTAATACGATGTTTTGACGTAATAAAATAAGGAAATTTTCCTTTCACTGATCCAACTAGACCTGCTTGCTTCGAAAGAAGTTCTTTTTGCATACTTTCGAGTGACTAGTTTGCAGCAGGTAACTGGGTTGTCATATTTTTCTAGGTGGCTTACAATGGTTGAGCCACTGGCATTATTCAGTTTGCATCGCATCGCTCACCCACGAACCAAACTCATTGATATGGAAATGAAGTGATGCGTCCTAAGTTTGTATGTTGCATTGCAAGTTGGTGAGTAAACCATCCAAAGACGATGCACTATTTTGATGCGAAATAACTGAGGGATAAGCTACTGACCTCTAAGGCTCATAACAACCCATTAATGGATGCGGAGGATATTCATGCTCTAGGTATCTTCCACGACTTTCCCTTCTCACTTGATGTTAGTTCAGGTCAACCATTCTGGCATCCATTGAACGACATTGAAACTTTTTAGGAAATAAATCTCGTGTATTGGCAGCGATAGCACTTCATTTCGCACGACCAGATTTAAACCCTCTTCCTGAACGTGTAATTTGTTATACTCTCTAGATACTTGATCTCAAACTACAGTAAGCAAGATTGTAGGCAGCTCTCTTCTAAAATTTCACCCAATTTGCTTCTTTCAGAAGTCACCCTGGGTCATTCTGTCAGAAGTTGTTTGAAGACTTCTAACTGTGGTCTCTACTTTTACAAGAGATCAAATGGTCCTAATCTTCAAATGAAGTCTCGAGATAGCCCCTTCTCTGCTGGAAACCGGAGGGAGTAGTAGTAGTCTGAAACTATATCTTGCGTTTCGGCCATTGTTGCTACGACTGCTTGACTTTAAAGCAATAGTAAGGTTTTTTAGCGAGCGAAAATGCGCTTGGCTTTTAGTTGTAGACAAAGGAAATATGTTTGGGACCTTCCCTATGTACGATGGTGAAACTTGCGATTATCTAGGGAGACCTTCAAGTACAGTGCGGTTACGATGGGACGACATAATCCTGCGGTTTGCTTTTAGAGGAACTTGTAGTGCCACTTTTCAACCTTTCATCGCGCAGAGCACCTAATTGACGTATTGTTAATCGTTTATTTCCACACTTAATCCCTATGGCCGCCAAAATAATGATCACAATCACTTGCGAGCATTTGGGCTTCTGAGAAGTAAATACATTCTGAGTGCTCTGCGATGGCTTGTCTAGACTATTTTGAGCCCTTTTTGTATCAGCTCCTAGACAGCAGTTTTGATGGTTTTGTAGAGTTTTGCTTCATTTCATTCAACGTCCTTTATTTTTTACCGAAGCACTTTGGGGACAAACCAGATAGCGAAATAGTTGCTTTCGTTTGTCACGACGGCGATCGCCGCGACCTATGGCCCTATCGACCCCCGATGGAGGGTGTCGAGGCCGTGTTTGAGTCAGCGGTGTCAGTGCGCGCTATAGACTACGCACAGGAAGTGGCAGCGCTGCACGAATTAATGCATCGTCACGGTCTCGATTATGTCCTCCGACCCAACGAAGAGCTCTCCACTGTACGCGATTTCTTTACCAACTTAAGTCGACGCGCGGGGCTCAATCAGATATGGCAAGTCTCCTTCCTATCTACACTGTGTTTACTCTCATTTGTAATGAACAAAGCTTTGCTTTCATACGTTGGCCTTACCCTGGCACATTTATTGCCTCCTACCTCCTCCCTTTCCTAATCTTGTCTCACCATTGGGAACATGCACAATAGGGAGTGGATAATCTCCTTTGGGTTTTAAAAGGTCTTCTAAGTTCCCCTTAACTTTATGGTCCGATACACTCTTTCCTCCTCCTACTCCTGAAAGTGGGCTAATTGTCTTTTGTTGGACAAGGTGATCTCACTATCCAAATCACCGTGCTGTTCTTAATTATCCCAACAGTTAACTTTTTTCTCTTTCATTGCCTCGAAATTAAGAAAGTTGCGATTAATTCGCTTTGTTTGAATCGCCATGAGTTTGCTATTTGTTTTGGCCGCTTGTTTCCTTACTCCACAGCCTTTTGTAATTGTTAAAGGTTTAACGTAGAAGGAATAATAATTGGTCGTTTTAAAACTTCTTTCTACGGGGCTTCTTACCTGCGGTGTCAGTTCACTTTCTTTCGGCTTTGAAAGCTATTGTCATCTAACTGGTTTTTATTTGAAGAACTGTCCATTTTCGCGAGACAAGATAGACTTTGTGTCGCAACGCTAATCTGCGAGGGAACTTTCACTTGAGATCAAGAGATTGATGCCATTTCCTAGCTTTATGCAATAAAGGCGTATTACTTGAGGTTTTGCTTCGATATTAAAACTATTTTAAGCAAATTAAGTTCCGTGTTCTCTCCTGTCGCGTTGGGAATGGGTCATGGAGAGTACGATTGATTTAGTTAGTAAAAGTTTTCTTTGAATTTTGGCCTTACTAGCAGGTGATTTTTCTAGTGCTATAGAAATATCCCATGATTGGGGGAACTTTTCTGCAGTCTCGATTTTAAATACCGAATGCATATGCTCTTGCTAGCGGTCATTTTTTGCCAATGTCTGTTTATATAAGCCTTTTAAATTTACAACTGTGTGCGATTGTGTCATTCATTTGTTCATATGGGTTTCGCATCCTGGATATATGCCTGATTGCATACCGAATAATTGTGGCTTAAAAATGTCAATACCATCTCTTTCCTAACTCAAAAACTGATAATGCCTTTTTTATCGGTATTGCTATTCAGAGCTTTATCAGGCATACAATTTACTCTGAGCCTATAGCAGCCGTTACTTTTGAAGGGCTTGGGGAGCTCGGGCGGTCACATTTGAACTCAGTTTTGATGTGCTACAAAGACGCCGCATCTTTTAATGCGGTGATCTTTGCTTAGAATCGCTGCTGGAGGCGATGCAGATCCAGATCGTCTTCTGCATCTAAAATTCAATCTGTTAGTAAGTGATGGAGTCACACGACCACAACATAGAAATGATGATTTAAACTTCCCGAGTCAATTTTGAGAAATGCATTTCTGTTGTCGAACAGTTGAGTTTCTATGACCAAGACCAAAGATGTAATTGTTACCTTTCGTAGACAGTTCAATAAGACGTTGGGTAATAAGTAGAAGTAATATTTCCAACATCGGTGCCATGATGATGATGCTAAAAGGTGCTGATAAACCAAAGTTAGAGGTAGCAATTTCCTAGTTTTTTCTTAACCTTCGGGTTCGGAAGTTCAGAATTGCCAAGCTATTTGTTCACTGCCACCTGAAGGCTCTGCGGCATAAGTTTTTGCTGAGTTATGGTAATCTTTTCGCGAGGTAGAGTAAACCAACTGTGAGGTATACCGATGTTTTCACCCAACAACTCATGACAAATTCAGTTTTTACATTAATCTCTCTTCATTCAAACATTTCCCAATCCTAGTTCATTTTGTAGAAAAGCGCTGATGGACTTTCCGTTCCATCTGTCACAATCTCTGCCGTCGTGAAGGTTGTGAGTCGAAAGTGATGTGTGTATGTTTATTTCCTCTTCAGTTCTGTATATCTATTTCGCCATTTTAGCTTCTAAAACATTTCATAACTGTGGATAGTTTCATTGAAATCTTGGGGTTTTTTTCAGTTTTTTAGTCTTCTATGATTCAGGAGGCAACATTACATCACTTTATTCTCTCAAGTTTTTTGAGTACTAAAGGACTGATTTGCCGAGGTGCCTAGACCGCAACGATTTATGGTTGTCCACTCTAGTCCTTTTGTATCTGGGCTATTCCTAAGATGTACTCGAGTTATGCTCCTTGTTTCAACTATTTTGAGTATTATACTGGTGTCATGGGTGAAATTATCGAAAGTTCGTAATCTATTGAGCATGAACTTTATCGTTAAATCAATTGAATAGTACAGAAACCTCAAAACATATCAGCATACTTGAACTCATGGTCGGCTCCTAGAGTAACTCAATTTTGAAAAGTGCACAACCAACGTAGACACTTGAACATCTTATCACCAACAAAAGTACGTTGCCACCGTTTGACCCACATTTGACTAAATGTGAGGACAGGAAGTGGGCGGAGCCTTCCCGTTTCTGTAGTATTCATTACTGGGTAGACTGATTCTGTCAGCTGTCACTGGATACATTCCATCACCAGATAGCAGTTCTTCTCTATCACGTGGAAATTCCTTATTGATAAGTCCATCAACCTCTTAACCACATCAGAAATCTGACACTGCCACGATTTTATCTTCCCCTGACTATTTTCATCTAGGCTTCTTCATTGTCTGATTGCATTACCGGATGACAACTACTATCAGTGGTTATGTAACTAGCATCGATAGCAGTTTTTTACTCATTAGTGTATTAGGAGCTCTGTTTTATCTAAGACATAAAATCGGCGTAATTTCCAATTGTTCCAAAGCACCCCAAACCTAATATATAGATAACTATTCCGCCCCACCTATGCTCGAGGTTAGGCCGCTTCTTAACCACTTTTCTAGGTTGCATACCTGGCTCTATTTGGACCTCTGATGTCTCTCAAAGACGGCTGCTGTGCACTACGAGGCTTGTGTGCTCAATTCCTCGCATATTTTGTTAATTTTAATTGAAAATTGTGAAATCTCCATCCGAACATCCACTATAGCCTGTTTGCAATTAATCAGCTTGTCTACTTCAATGCATTTCTGAGATTTAATGTACTTTTAGGAAATCGGTCTTTTGTGTTCATTCTGAATTTCGCCTTAGAAATCGGTATTACACTTGTCCTGCTTGAGGCAGATTTATTTTCACTGTTCAAGCAAGGCGTTTACTGTTTAGTTATAACTAGTGCGTCTCGATGTCTACATTGCCGTCCCGGATGTAATCGACTAAATCAAACGCACTCCTGAATTTTCATTTATTATGGAACTGTTTTACAATGGACTTATTCTCAATGACACTACTTGCTCTCTTCCCTTCGTCAGGACGGTAGTTCGTCTAACATCCGCACTGTTGGGTAATTACGTCCACAGCCTGGCTCCGTCAACATCTTCCATTCTTGTGTTCGGCAAGCAACTAACTATTGGAACGGTGCAGGGCCCTGAGGTCAATCTTAACAAGCCCATGAACCCCCGCCAACTCTGTGACCTCCTTCAGGACACTGTCTTCCCTGTTAATCCGCTCCAGGTCTCCCTCCAGCAGGAACTCATTCTCTATGTCTCTGCCCTACTCATTAAGGACAAGTCGCTGTTTAAAGACATAGCCATAATTCGACTGGGGTAAGTCCAACTTTCCCCTTTTCGTTCTTTACTTCTGAATGTCAGTGGTTTGGGAGGCATTTGGCCACTATTCATCTGTACAAATCCATTAGTCTGCTCATATTCACGTAAGTTTGATGCTCTTTGAGCCAAAGTTTCGAGGTTTATCTTTTTTGATTTCTTTCCCATTCTCAACAATTTAACAATGGAAATCAAGACTTGCCCTTGCCAAAGAGATTTCGCGACCTCTCGGTTATTCAGTGCTTTCTTCAGTTTTAACGCTGTGTTTATTAGGATGAGATTCATGTACAGCTTACAATAAATAAGGCATTTAGTTCTCTCCTACTGATTTCGCATCGTAGTTCCTAGCCAATGCTAGATTTGTACTCAACTTTGCACTCCGGTGTTGTCAATAGGCGCCTCTTATTCGTGCAGTTGTTTTTCTCCCGTTTTTGTGAATCTTACAGAAATGGTGGATGTAGGTTATTTAAGTATTTTATGTTTTCATTTCTAAGAGAAGTTTAGATTTAGAATCAACACAAATTCTCATCACTACTATTACGAAATTTCTCGTTTTTGAGATTCCATGGGAGATGCTCAGAGTGGACCTCACCTGGACTTTTCGCTCATTCCATACTTCAACATGTAACTGATAATAAGATTTTGTGCTTACCTCCGCAATATATGTTCGTAAGTTGTGGTCAACAGCAAATGTGAACTTCTCTAACTGCATTACTTTCGTTGGCATTGGGGATTTTTAGTCTTATACTTTCACCTATCGATGAACCACGTTGCATCATAACTGCGTGCCTCCATCCGCTATCGGGAGTAATTAGATTGAGAGGAGTTTCACTGGCTGTGGTGTCAGCGGATAATGTTTCCCCCTCTGGTAGAAAAATAGATGTAAATATTTAGATGGCATTGTTATTACTGTGGGTTACAGACGAGTTGATAATCTATTGCCACGGTTGCATTTCGTGCTGCCTTGCTTCAAAAGCTTAGGAGAACTTCAAATTAGAGCCAATGCAGTTATTGTGCTAGCCTTTACCGCCATTTAATGTTATCTGAAGGGCGGGGAAAAGATAAAAGAATCGAGTCTACTTAACCATTACGTGACTGCAGTACGAGTCTCGTTACATATAAGCAACCCCATTTATGAGTGCGGTATCTGTTTTAACTATCGTTACCTTATATCAGAAGGATCCCCTCATTTTTGCTATTTTATTTATTACTATTTGGCAACCCCTTCGGCATCACCTAACTTGAGCTGTAGTCAACGTTTTTACCTTATAGAATGTCGGGGTACAGGTATGGCGGCAATTTATCTTCCGTGGTGTATCCATTTATCAAAATGACTGTCCTATCTCAATGCTGTAGAAAATGATTTTAGCCCAGGATCATCTTAGTTGTTCATTTCTAAGTAATAAGGCCCTTAGAACAACTTCCTCAAGGTGTTGCTTATTTAATATAAATCTACTCCGAACCCTTGTTTTATTTATCACGTAACAGCACTGGGAAAACTTTGATTATTAGTTCTTCTATTTGATAATAGGAATGAACTGAAAGATAACCTATTGACTGAAATCTGCACAAAAACTGTCTGGGCGCACGCTCAACTCAAAATACCATCTTCAGGCAAAGTACGTTGCGTCCTAGAGCGCCACTTCACTCCCCTTATTTTTCTTAGTTGGTTCCTGGAGGCCATGAAACTTCAACTTGAGGCGGAAGAGGCGCGGTCAGAGGCCAAGCACGGCGACAGTGATGTGAATAGTAGAGATGCGGGAATCAGAGACCTGGGAAAGCCTGGTGACACCGCTGAAACTTTGGTTAAAGCTCGCAGTCTTGGTGCCTGTCATTTGTATTCGCTTTCTCCCTCGAGCCTCAAGAGTCTTCTATATCGCACTCTATGCTCTGACTCCGTGGAGCATATCCACAACTCTCAAAAGTCTTGGCGGTGCAATACCTCACCCTCACGAGGAGGCAGGTCCACACGTTCTGCCTGTTTTATGATAATGCGCTATTGTCCTACTTGCGTCATTCTGCTCTTTTTCATAAAATGTCCTAAACTCTTGTTATCTTCGAAATCTCATACTGTTTAGAGCAGCTGGAATGATTGTGGGAATCCACAAGCTGTTCAAGCTAAATCCAGGTTTTGGAGTTGAAGGAAAAGCGAGCGAATTTCATGGAACTAAAACTTCTCCCTTTTTTCGTTTGCTTAAAGTCCATATGGATCTAGCTTTAGAAACTTATTCAGAAGTGTTGGAAATCGTAATCACGTTTCGCCTCCTCTATCAGTTTTCTGAATCGCTAATCTCTTACATTCTTTTTGTAGTTGAAATAGGCAGGATTCACTTAAAATGAAGGTCTACATTTAACTGCTAAAGAAAGTGATCTTCATTTTGACAAAGTTGACCTATTTTCATCTCAACGCTAGATGCTTTCACAATCACAACGTTTTTACTTCTACGACATAGATGTCTCATTAATCTGGAACGTTTGATTTGGCATCATATCAGGCAATTTGATTTGGCTCTCGTCGTTTTGGCAACGCACTTCTCGCTGAACGGATCTTCAAACGAAACTTGCTAAATGCACTATCGTTGAATTTTTATTTATTTTAGTTCCAACTTAGTTATCGTGAATAGAGCAAATAAATTAGTATTTTTAATAGCTGAGTTAACAAAAAACGTGGGGACCTCAGAACAGTTTAAAAAGCTGTAGGAGTAAAGTGATGAGTGTCCTAAAGGCGCGGGGTTTACAGTGGGGATGGATTGTTTGGGAAAATTAATGTTGTCATTTGTTGAATATAGCAACGTGGAAGCCCATTCGCTTCGCTATAATTTACGCAGCTGAGAAGAGCGAATTCTTTTGCATGGATGGCATACACAACACAATCTCCTAAGATCATTTTTTGTTGTAAAAGTTGGTTGTCGGTCAACGTGACCGACAGGGCAGTACTAATGGCAAAATGAAATTTGTTCCAGACTAGCATACCGATGCTAAGGCTTTCTATGTGCAACGTAAACGCTGATGTAGGTCTATCACTGTAATCAATCATTAAGTGAAGCGGCGAGTGCTTCAAAACTTTTTAAAACGTGCTTTTCCTTCTATGGCCCCCTTTTTTCTTTGAATTCCCTTTGTAAGCACTACTTTCATTTTTCATGGTAGTAACGAATTCCAAACAATAAAACCAATTGTTCTAGAGTCACCGGCACTATCAGATGAAAACAAGTCTCCAGAGGAAGTGCTTTATCAACGCCAATTGGATGGATGCCTGGGACGCGTACCAAACACTTTCTATGAATCGGTCTACCACATTCTTGAGAGATCACCTTGTGGTGTTCTCATAGCGTCTAATCTACTGCCCCAGGTTAGTGATCTGCTTTTGCTCTTCGCTGTACTTCCGAATCGTCGTAAGTGTGATGAACCAAGGAAGGCAAGAGCTGGAGGCTTATGGCATAGGTGGGGCGGAAGCAGTAGTTAAGCATGAATCAGCCAACATTGGATTGGCTTTTAGGTTTGATGTGCTTTGAGTAGGATAATTCAGTACTGTGATAGATCAAACACTATATTCGGCTCTAGGTTCGTAAGAGTGGATTCCTACTATCTCAATTGGACCGAAAGCCTGAGCTTCTAGTTAAATGAATTGAACCCAGAAAGGGGCTCATTGGAATCTTTTCTAGTCAATACTCCTTTGTTTCGAGCGATTTTTTTCGATAGACCTTTGTTGTTGCACTACTGATATCAGTAATGTTACCCACCCCACTTCAGCATCTTATAAGATAGACTCGTTGTTGATGTTAAAGATATGAAGGGGACTCAGTGTACTCAGCTATTTTCTTATCAATTCGGTCTGTTGAATGGAAACCAGAATCGCGTAAAGGTTAGTGAATCCGCACAAGGAGGGAGAAAATGTGTTGTAGAGTTTGTCTTTGAGTATTTCGGATAACATCCCAAAAGAAACCGAGAGGGTTTGGTCCTCGAAAATGGTTGTTGTCTCAATCATTTTTTTCTTAAAAAACTACCTGGGGACTTATGTGCTTAAGTTATCCCGTACTTTGTTTTCGCATATTTTCACTCCAGATCATGTAGCATAGATCACGCTGCTGGAGCATATCCAAGAGTATGACGTGTTCCGGTTTTCTGAGCAGCTATTATTAAGGCTCTGGCTGATTCTGATCACTGAACTATTTTTAGCAGCAGCCTTGTTTTCGAAAGTCGCTGTCAATTCCGTGGCGGCTTGATTGTGCAGCATCAAATACCTCTTCCCTTCTTTTTCTGCGCTCCAATCTAGTGGAATTCATTTCTGGCTCTATTCGATCTCACCTTTTTTGAAACGTTCAGCAAAAGTGGCCTGTGTTTTATTTTCTGAGTTTCGTTTTCCAAGTTACACTCATTTTTCTCCAAGTACTAATCCATGTCGAAACCTCAATTACTCTTACATGGAAGGTGTACCTTTTAAAGTGTTGCCTCCTTTTTGCATATAAATGTAGCTCTTTGAGAACCCATTGCTCATAGACATTTCTACTCTCTTAAATGAAGACCTAAATTATCCTTGGTAATGCAAGCTACTCTGTCGTTGGTTTACCTAATAGATCGTTTTATGGAGTGATTCTTCCACGGTTTTTAATAGTCTCCTTTACCATATAGCTAAAAAATCATTTCATTCCGTGAATTGGATTAATTACTTAATCAGAATATGGTAGATTTCTATTTCACTCCACTCCGTTATAAGTGAAGCACCCAAAATCAAATGAACATTCTCTTCATCATATGGGTTAATTGCAAAATTAGTTGTACTTTTACTTGCTATCACCGTTATTTTGTTTCTGGTTCAGCAGACGTGGACCCTGTTTTCCAAACATCCCTTTCCTTTCGCCGGAAGAGGGTGTGCCCGGAAACAATTAAAAAGCGGCTGAGGCGGAAAACGGGTCGGGGGTGAGGGAAGAGAGACATGACTTGCCAGGAAAAGGCGTGTGATAGTGGGGGTAGGAAGGGATGGTGGTCGCTCATATCCCTTTTTTCATTCGCGGACAGGTGTCTTTGTGCACTCTCGACTCCATTCGCTTGCTTTATTTATTTCCGGGCGACTAATATTGCTTATTTGGCCGAAGAGGCAATTAGCTGCGGAAGACTCCCTAAAACAAATTGTCCGATTGAATAATCCTACTTCAAACCCAGAACTCTTTCCAGAGTAGTCATGACTTTTATTTGTATTGAACGTTCAGTCTATAAAAGACATTAATCCAGTTTGATCTACTTCCATTTCCATCTCATAATCCTTTCAGACTTATTCGTCCTGCTTTCTAAGTAAGTGGTATTTATTGCTGGAAGAAATGTATCAAGGATGTGCTAGAAGGCTTTTATAATGGTAAAATCTGCGCTGTCTTCACAGAGCGTGATTGACTGACTGGTTTTGGCTCTTCCTCACGAAGGTGAGGCTTCATCTTGCAGATCTCTAAGACGCATGTGGGATGGATAGACGTCTGTTGCAATTGTTTGAGCCTCACTACGATAACAGTTGAGTTTGTATTTCACCACAAAATCACACGGAACGCACTGTTTGGGGCCAAAGTAATGCGTTGCTTAGACTTGTGGAACGTTTGGTGAGTAATGGATTGTTTATGAACGATTAATGATATGTTCGTTTGCCATCCAAGCAACATGAAAGCCCATTAGCTCCATCAAGGAGTACATCTGGGATTAATATTTCTGTAAGATGTATAAAAGGATTAGAGCATTCACTTATAGGTTGAGAGGTTAATTACTACCTTTGAGCGCATGGTTCTAAGACCATCCTTTCTTAGTTGATGTAGACATAGCCCGATTGTTTTATTGTTCGAACTAAACACTGATAGGAGTTTCTGATAGTACTCTAATCTCAATCTCTTCTAAGGTGCTAGTAATGATGCCTTATTCTTTAATATGATGACAAGATGGTATTTTTGAACGTGAGATATTTCTACTCGAAGACCCGTTCTACTAGTGCACCTCATCCTTTCTCCAAATGCTTTGTAGCAGACGTCATGGAAAACGTTTGCAAGCAAGGCTGTGAATTGGGAGTAGATTCATTCATTGAAGTCGATAAACTCTACTTACATGCGGATAGAAAACGCATTGAACCGATGAATCACTGCTATACTTCGGCGTCGTGAGTTGTACCAGAGGCGGCATGACCTTTTTAGTCACTTAGAATAAGGCGTTCTGGTCGTTTACTCATACTTTGCAGAATAGTGGATTTAGTTATCGGAAAATCTTTCAACTTTATCGCTGTTTCGGCGTGCATGTGTGTGCTACGTATCTCACCTATTTCCTGGAATCGAGTCGATCTACCTTGAAGAATATCCCATTCAATATCTTGCCTTAAACAGTTGAAACAAGCAGATTTTTTGCATTCAGTACTATCTTCTGGCCATCCCTTCTTAGTTTCTACTCGCACTGCCGTAAATCAAGCAATCGTTACCCTCTCGTGCTGATGGTAAAGCTTAAATAAGCGCTATCACTTATGTGTCTCACTGGTTAGAATGATGGTTCGGTCAGGTCGGCATTAAAATCTGATCGTGTTGAAACCCTCTAAGCGGATCGAAATAACTTGGCTAATAGTATTGTTTGACGCTAACTTCGTTTTTCCTGTCATTTTCGATGTCGGCGTTGACGACGTTTAGAAGCGAAGGTCATTAAGCATTTAGTAAAATCTACTTACCTTCCAATGGGTATTCCCTACACCCCTTGCTGACAGAATCCTACATTGACGGACATGACTCCACACGATCTGAATTTGGTGGTCGAGGTGGAGCGTATGCTGAGCGACATCAAGGATCCCGCTTATCGTGCGCTCTTTGTCGAGACAGTAATGGTGATTGCCGTCATCCTGGAGCGCAATCAAGAGCTCTCCTTCACCGAAGTGGTCGACTTCCGGCTGGTCATTCAAAACGCCATCAAAGACTTTGCCATCGTCAACCACATCAGCTCGTGAGTTTTGCGTCTCTCCTCTCCATCTTCCGTCCCTTCTTCCACCTTTATAGAGCGTATGCGATAAGTGTCGGGGTAATTCTCAATTGATCTAAAAATTCCGATTTCGGACAAGCATCTGCAGTTCTCTATCTTTTCCTGTCCAAGTCCCCTTATTATCGGTTTCTGGCGTATAACTTATTCGCAGAAACCCATCATCATTTAATTACAAACAACTTTGGATTCTGTGTAAGGTTAAGCATTGAGTCTGAGGTGGATGAAGCGGCTCACAAAAGCACAGTCTATTTTTTTATTCATCACACTCCAAAAGACACTTGTGTATGAGGTAATGCGAAGCTCAGCTATTGGTGACCAATAAATCCTTCGTACCAATTCTCGAATCACTCACTGAGTCCGAAGTTTCACCTGAATATATAGGTGTATACCATAGACTGCGAAACAGTTGTTACGTTGAGAAAAAAAATATATTCCGTACCACCTTTTAAATATTGGAATTAAATTTACCATCCTTTGTCCTTTTGTGTGTGTTTCATGATCTTTCAATTACTTGAGTAGCTCTCCATACCTGGCAAATCAAAGTCCTCTGAGTATCCATCATGCCCTTTCTCCAACATGACTACTACTTCGAAATGTCCATGAGCTTGATTACCACATCTTTCCCATTTATTCCTTAATCAAGCTTGTAACAGTTTCAAATGTACTCATTTGTCGTTTCATGCATGCATGGGTTCCCATCAGACTTGAATTTTGTGCATTTCAACTCGTTTTTTTGTTTGGCATTGGCATCGTCTCGACAAATTTGTGGAGCTGATGCGGTTTGCTTTTTTGCTACTGCTGATCTCAGAGTCTAAGTCTGCTTTAAGTGAAAAAAAAAACAGCGATATCTGATCTGAGTATCTTACTTTTTTAGTAATGAGGAATCTCGAGAAAATCGACTGCCAACGCCAACTCGACGCTCAAAACGACGTCCTTCATGGCCAGAGAACGTGGCGGTGGCTGAAAACTGGGAGGCCTATGCCCGTTTTGCTTCCACACCTGCCAACATTCGTTTGGGAACTACTTCTTTCCTCGCGAAAGCTTCTATAGCTCTTCTTCTTCATGGAACCATCAATCTAAGTGATGTCAACAAAGAAGCTTGCTGTCTTTCTTAATTACAACACTGCTATCTTCCTTGCCATCGATGTGATCTGTTAACTTTGTCCAAATTCTGCTTGGAGGCGTGAGTTTCTGCGCAAAACTTATGCCTCTTTCTCTTTCATAGCCTGCTGTTGGTTTATTTATGTTTTGCTTTGCGAGTCGAACAATACATCCGATTATATCTTCAGATGATTTATAGCATATCTGTGGACTTTTCACTACGAAAGGTGCGGTTTTTTGGGGTTCCTTTCACTTAAATTGAGCCTTTGAGCTCTTAAGCTGATGAATGTGATCGAGACAAATAGTTGATGCGGTCGCAGGTCGGCTCATCAACATGACGCACATCAAGAGGCGACAAGAAGCTTGGTGGGTCTATCCGCCTCTTCTTTACAAGCCACCCTTATAAGGCTTCCATTTGTTAGTGGACGAGCAGCATGTATGGCTGAAAGCCATCCACTCAAACGAACAGGTTGACAATTCAGCAGGATGATGTTATTATTTTTAGTATCGCATCCAATGTTTCCTACAGCAAATTTTGCCGGTGAAGTTCCGAAGTTCGTTTGGGAGGAAGATGTCACCTCCTCTTTATCAGCCCCATTTCTTCCACACTTTGATAGTAACTTACAAACAGAATAAATGGTTGAGAAGTGAAAGTGACGTTGATGGTCAATTTCAGGGTTTTTTGTAAGTTGATCTTGTAGCTACACTAAGCTACCTTGGGGAAGATTTGAAACGTAATTATTTTTTAACAAGAAGTTGCAACCTTCGCTGGATGCTTTAAATCACATGATTAAGCTTTTACTATTGACAGTTGGTTTTCCTCCTCAAGATAAGCATAGAGGGTTAGATGACCGTATGCCGAATTAGTCCCTTCAGAGCAAATTAATTTTCTCACTCAAACTTACATTTTGTACTTCACCCTTCAAATTCCTATCCTAATTTCCGTTGCGCGTAGTGACTTAACGTTTCAATTCTCATTCACTTCCCAATAGCTTAGTTAACAGCAGATAAGTTTTTTTTGTTGAGTGATTCCGCTATTGCGGTCTGTGTGTTCACAACGCGGAATTCTTCGTCGTAAAAGTTAGCGGTATTGTGGAACCGTTACCATCCCTCGGCACACTTACTCAGTTTTCGTACTCCTCTTTAGTGAAGCAACACCCGTGATAACTCTAGCCCTTCACGTTTGTCTTGTATTCTCCAAGATGTCTTGGAAAAACTGCGAAATGTTATATGTACTTAAGTCATCATTCGACACCTCGAGTAGGTGTTGAAGGTGTGGTAAGGCGTACCGAAGAAAAAAGTCTAACAGTAACTTCCAGAAGGGACTCGCAAGCATGGGCGCAACGATGCAAAAGTAAGATGAAAAGCTCAATCGAAAACTGAAAAGTTCACCTAGTTCTCTGAAAGAAGGTCAAGTTTTGCTCCATGCGATTGGTGTGTCTTCAATTTAGAGGCGTTTTGGTGTAATTTACGTTTCCTAGTTTTATTGTTCTCGGCCCAATTTACCCTTAACTTGTTTGCTCATTCACGTCTCATTTTATAGCAACTCTACCTGTCTTCCCTGAACTGAGATTCCACAAGATTTGTGCAAGTCCTTGCGCGACTAGCTACAGCTTTGGTTTGTCCCCTAAGCTCCCATTTACTCGCGTCTTTCCTTCGAATGGGGATTCTTTCCTGCACACCTTAACTGTTTTCCAGTTCAAGTTCCAGTTATTTCAAATTCTAGACAGTTTTGCCTGATTTCTATCTCGTTTTTTCTGCTTTTTACTTCAGTGCCGAAGTCTGCAACTAACTTTTCATCCATAGGCGCCCAAATTGTCAGTAGTTCATGTGTTCCATACCTGTGTGATACACTTTCCGACAACTTGTTGCTCTTTATTCTTGCCCCTCCTTGACTAATGCTGAACGTTCACCATTGTAAATTCATCAGTTACACCTTGATAAATTAGCATTATTTTGCTTCAATGTTTAACTGTTTACCTGTCTCCCTGGGTTGAGTCAATATCTTAGTTCATGGTGCTCCTTGTCTACGGTAGGATGAAGTACTGTCCCACGCTGCAACCCAACGCATCACATTCTTAAGCACTGCCAATGACAAATAGTCTGCTTTTTGCTTCCATGGAAAGATGACTTCACATGCGGGTAATCAAGAAGTGCGTCAGCCGTGACACTCCCTTCACTTGTTTTCAGCATTGGTAAGGTGTCTATTGAAAGCAGTCTTCACGCATAAGGTAGTCGTCTGTGAACAACATTGGCTCAGTGTCATTTGTTTCATCAATGCAGTCGGTGTCTAGCTAAATCTGCATCATGTGTCGCTTTTGGGAAAACTATCCACATATGAATTCGATGGCGCAAGTAGTAGTGTGTGCATGTTTTACAAGTTGGCTGAGCTCTTCTATACCATTTAATTTTTTATTAAATTCCATGCAAAAGGCTGAAAATAATTGTTTAACTTGCTGAGCATCTTGTCTGAGGAGAGCTTGAATTGCGATTCATTTCATGGCTGAATGTCGTAGATGAATTATGTTAGTGTCGTGGAGACAATCACAACTTGTAGAGGTTTCGCGTTTCAAATTTCGACCAACAGCGTGTACATGATTTGCACCCTACGGAATATGTAGTTGCTCAACGTTGGTGTATTCAATGTTTTACCTGAAAAATATCATCCTTTAGCAGGTAAACTAAAGTTTCAAATGGGAGCCTTATGTACTTGCTTCCTTCTTAATCTGCAGGCATTCAAATAATTGGAGACCTCGCTTTTGTACAGCAGTTTTATCTTCCACTCCTCCCTTCTACAAAGCTAAACTCCAATGGCGGGAAGTGAAAGACAAGTAGCCTATGGTTCATTCTCGTTCTTAGCTAATTTTCAGACTAACCATGCTGGATTGCATGGATTGCCATTCCTCAAAATAACTTATAATAAACCATAATTTGGGCACATTCGTTGCGCAACAACGCTCTCAGGTGTTTATCACTGACTTTCTCTCTTTCAGCTCGATCCAGTGACCCCAGAGATGCGCCTTGGTAGTAATTCTCAATTGTCATTTATTTAGAACAAGCTTTTCCTTTTCAAAGTGCGAGATAAGAGTAGGTGGGCCGTAGATTGAGGAGGAGCAGCTGTTGCTGTCGAGGCTCTGCCTCCTCGCCTAGATGCAGCCGTAGGGGTTGCAGAAGAAGCGCTTCGATGTTCGGTAGGCGTTCATCCTATTCCGCATGTCCTGCAGCTGTCGAAGGTAGTACAACTCCGTGTCCTGAGAGAGGTAAATACAACTGGCAAGGATTACGACTTCAAAATACGTTAGCCCATTAAGGCCGTCGCAAACTCACGATTCTCGTACGTCTCGGTAACGGAGTCACCTAAACGTCAGTCAAGCAACAGTTGGATATTTTGTTAAGACCCTTTAAAGAATTGAAGAATTTTCAGGAGTCAGACATTTGAGAAGTAGGATGAAAAGAGTGCTTGAATGTTGTGAAAAGTTTTTCAAATTCCGCCTTGCTTGGATACTATGCGGTTGCTTATCTCCAAATTTTTGATACAAATTCTTTTCAATTATCTTTTAGAACTGAATTTATGCTCCCAATGGGATGAAACATCTTACAAATTCTAACGTAAAAAATTGTTTGGCAATTTTAAGAACAGCACTTTTGGGTGGGAAAGAGATTGGACTGCTGGGCCGACCCAACAACAGAAGAACATATGAACATATCATATGATGTATGCAAATAGGACCAGTAAGATTTAGTTTAAGCAACCAATTCAGCTTAATGAACTAGTTGAGTAGTTTAAAGTTCAGCTAAACTGCAGGTAGTAAGCCTCTGACATGGCCTTCCGGCTATGCCATCAGGCCCCCATCTCCACTGCACGTTAAGGACAAATGTTTATCCGCCCGGATGTGGGTCATTAAAATGCCAGAGGGGCTTGGAGCTCCGCAGAAAAACATTATTGACTTACCCACCCCAAATGTTGGGTGAAATGAAGATTAAATATTGTAGGGGGGAGACCTTAGGCTGCTGACTTTCTTGGCTCATGAGAAGTAACAAAGACACATGGTATGTAACTTCTGACTCCTTTCAGCAGAGAGAAGATGCTACAAAACTCGTGAGTGTTGGGCATGGTATGCAAAAAGTGCTGAATTTACTCTTCAGGTGATCGACCTCGTTGCGAACAGGTTCTGTGCTTGATCTCATCGGCGTCGCTACGAAGTGGGAGACTCTGTCCTTAGCACAGGAAATCGGCAAGAATGTGTGAAATGAAAAACGAAGAAATGTATCTTATATTTACTGTTTTGCACCCGCGTAAATTCCGCCACTCGCTATCGCATGCAGTGGGCGAAAATATTTCCAAACATTGTTTCCTTTCCCCGAGAGTTGAAGCTCCTTATGCTCAAAATAAATATTAATTTTGGTAAACTGATTGAACATTAAAGTCACATATCGAGGAGTAATTACTGATGTTAATTATAAGTCGCATAAAAAAATTTAGCTAGACCGCCATAAACCGTTGATGGGTTCTCACGGTAACTCCTCAAAAAATTTTGCCACTTTTAGTTGGGTTGCATAACTCGGAGTGAACATGGTATGAGGTTTGAGTGAATGGAATCCGTGGATAATGTTGAACCCACTGAATCCAGTCTACCAGCAAAAATAGGAGTCATGTCGTCAATACGCTGACCCATGCTCTCGGTCGAGTGGACCACCACCTCGCATGAGAGCCAACTGTGAACCACAAAGTTACCAGAAGATTTTTGTTTCGACCGTCAGCCTGTGCTCACCTCACCTATTGAACGAAAGTAAGGAAATGTATCAGTAAGTTGTCGACTTTCTGTACAACTACCTTGAACGAACGTCAACATCCGAAGGAAAGAATCTTAGTACGGCAGAACATGTGCAGGTTGAAGGCTTATTCAACAACTGAAGGATCCCTGATTCAAGTGCTACCTAAGCTTGTAGTGCATTGTAAAGGAATCAAGTTTACAGCATTGAAACAAAAACATTAACTATCAGTGAATAATGTGCGTAAACCAATGCTGATTTAGCATAGCCGAGAAAAAGAAAATGGAAGGAAGGGGAACTCACCACGCTGAATGCTTTGGAAATCTCAATCGTTGGTACACTTTTCTCCGAAATCAGCTTTAATCTCATCTCAAAATGGGCAGTACTAAGAGAGCGGTGAGGAAGGCGACTTCTGCTGTCAAATTCACAAATTTGATGCTATCTTACTGCTAACAAACCAATAGACCGTCCCAACAGTGTTGAGAATGCACTATCATAAAAACTATGCTTTGAAGCAATAGTTAGCCCACTTTCAGCTTTCTAAAATAACTTTATCTTTTCAAAGTAGAAAATTAAAGCGGGAAGCTGCAAAATCGGAGGTTTCCTCTTCTGCGAGTCAACCTTTCAGGGTGCTACATAAAATGAATGGACCGATAGTATCCTCCATCGATGTGCCTCCGACAGAACCTTGAGGCAAAAGACAATGAGAGTGAAAGGCTAAGGAGAAGCGCTTTCGAATGTTAAAAGCGCTGTTGACTCTTGCATTGAATAGGCTACTAGCTTGCACAAGTAGTAAATGGGCGTCTAGAAAGGAGTATAAAAGCATCGGAAGCTCATCAACTTACCCATCTAGCGCCTGCAGCATTCACTCACACTAATATCCAAAACCTCTTTCACTTTATTTAGTAAATCAACTAAGAGCTTCACTAAATGAATAAATGTGCGTGAAAAAGCTGCAAACCAACGCAGATGAGTTTTTAGGAATTAACTTATTCCCTAACCAAGGCAGTGTTTGAGCAGTTTAGTCCTGTCAGAAAAAAAGCGGCATAAAATTTTATTTAAAGGGGAAACTGAAGTGGATACAATGACAAAAGTAAACTTTGCTAACGAGTGACAATGTATTATGAATTACTAGCGCACATGGTTTCGAAAAGTGGAGAACGGAACTAACCAAGTGCAGTTCACATTAACAAAAGTTTGTATATAACGAGAACTTAATGAGGGTAACAATAGGGGCAATTGGTTCCGACCCTGCCACAACTAGTAGAAACGGGATCAATAGGCAAATAATGCACACTTCTGTACTTCCACCATGGCCAGCGGCTATTAGGCCAATAAAACTGATAACAAATTGGAAGAGTGGATCTCTAAAACTTGTTCCTCACCTTAGGTTCCAGCGATTCCATCACCGGAAGTACGGCGTTCGGATCATCAACAGAGACGGAGGAGCGGAGAGGTGAAGGGACTGCCACAGCCACTGCGGTGGTGATCTCGAGGTGGGCCATGAGGAGACCAAGGGTAAGCACGACAGCTTGCATTGTCTTTGTACGAGGTTAGATACCTTCGCTTGACAAGCGGACAGTATAAATAGTCCCACGTCGGCCTATCATTGGTCTAACCGGTGGCGGACGTATATGCGCGGGCGATGAACTATTTCACCAATTTTTAATATTATGGGACAATCAGTCGGTTGATTAAGGGTTCTCATGATAGCTGCGTGTGGCTCTGATTCGACTAAAAAATGCTGTGATCAAACTCTTCTTATTCTCCTATGCTCCCAACGTTTTATGCGTTGTGCCATTAGTCTCTACGGTAGATAAAAATTTGTGCTTCTCATCCAAATTAAGATATTTAGCGCGATTCGAACCAATTCTCCTTAAAAACGTTCCTGTTTTAAAGATGTTTTTCTGTTTCAACGGTGTGCCTTGTCTTACCAGTTTGGGTTAACGTAGTGCCGATAAACACTGGTACATCTCAGCTAAAGCACTATAAATACGGACTTCTGAGGTTCACATCCTAAGGACAGTCAACGTGCCTCCTACAAGTTGAGGTATTTTAGTAACTGTTGTGTTTATGAGAATTTCCATTTGTTTTTCTAAGAAGGAATTCGCAATCACTACCAATACTTCACGGATTTTGCAGAAAAACTACTCAAGTGGTTTTCCTCACAGAAATGAGGTTCTTTTCAATTCATTACTGGTGCTCACAGACTTCAACCTCCGTGTGAAATTTAGATCTACACCAATTATACAATTTACGGGCGTTTCGCAGTTCACGACAGGTCCCACAAAGTCAAGTCCTTCCGCCCTTAGTGTAGAATGGCCTGTAAAGCAGAAAAGGTGCTTATAAATTATGCACTAACTTGTTTAAGTTGCCCTTACAAAGGAAGGTCGTCCTTCCGAGAACTAGTACTAGCATCTTGGCTGTGCTCCGATCCCTATAGACTGTAGTTGTCATGGCTAATTTAAACAAAAGTTTCCTTAAGTATCTTCCTCTAAGAAGTCTGAGGTTAAGGATAAAGAAGGTGTGGGGAAGGTACTACAGTGCTTCTTTAAGTTAGTGGTCATGGCAACCCCTTATGTTGTGAAGCGCAGTTTGTTATGCCATAACTTATGTTTAAAAGTTCGAATAATCACATTAAGCCGAAGCTATTAAATTATGGTTTTGATTTATTGACACCACTATTATTACTTTTGAAATAAAGGACACGAATGTTGATATACCAAATGACCATTTTTCCACTCATCCTCCTTTATAAAGCTAGGATGTATTTTTAATTAAAATGGATCAACGTAGAATTATTAGATACATTGATAAATTAGGTGCTTAAGAACAGTCCCTTCATGATGATCTAATGTCTATCCACCAGCCCCAGTAATCACTCAGATCTACTGTACTTTGACCATACATACGCCATTACCCCATTTTGGTTCTTTACAACTTCAGAAGAGCCGCAGACGGCTACGCAGCTATTGCAGCTTACAAAAACCAAACCTACCATGGAATTTACCATTGGTTGAATCAAATCATGCAGCCAACTATACTACTCAACTGATCATGCATAAAAAAGGAAGAGCTGATTGCATCGCGTACATAAAACTTATTTGTAATACCTTTTTCGTTCAGTTGCCTAAATGGGCTAGCCTTCGACTATGCTAAGGCTTTCCTTCCTCTTTTCTGTCCGAATGAAGTATTTAGCCCAGTCTTGTGCCTTTTCTTACTTAACAGCAGGTCTTGGGTGTTACAGTGTTGTCCTTTAAATATATTATTTTAAATGGAGGCATGAAATATGAGACGATGAGTAAAGCTATCAAATGGAGGCATAAGACTTGGCTGAATAGTTGTATTTTAAGGGAAACGGAAGTCAAGAACCTTGACATGGCCGAAGCTAGTCCACTCAACAAAAGCATGATGGCTACCAACGAGATCGCCGTCAATACAAGCAGCTAACCAAACGAAGTGTTACAATAAGGACTTCATTCTCGTGCTTGAGGAACAGTTACAAACAGAGACCTGATGACGATCCCTTCAAGCCAATCCCCACCTCATCGTGTATTTTATACCCAGTGAAATGTCTCAAGATACTTAATATCCCCTTATTCAGGTAGCTGTGGAGAAAAAACGAGGACAAACTCTCAAAAATAAAAGTCAATAAATGTTTGCTATTTTGACGTCTAAGCAATAAATAAGCCCCTCAATTTCAGGGTGTGAATTCGCAGTTAGCTGAGAAGGAATCATCACAGTTTTTGATGTCAGATAAAATTGAAGGTAACAAAAATTAGGTAAGACTGCGCTAAGAAGGTAGAGTGCCGAGTGAGTGTGACTATGAAAACACCTACGAGAACTCCAAAGTTACTTCGAACATTCGAGTAGGTTGTTATTCAAATCGCATTGCGCATATTATATTAAAAGAGACGGCTTGCATAACTATGATTTCGCAAGAATATACAAGAACAATTTAACCAAACCAGCCCAAAATATGTCGTCTCTGAATGCATGTGTTTATATAATCACAATAAGTGGTGCAATTTTAGTCTGCCTGGTTTGCTCCGGTTCTGGGGTCGCGGTGAGTGGTCTGCGTTTCACTAATCTCTCTATTTATTGAAGCTTTGTGCAAATCTATATTTTGCCACAATTCCCTTAACAATTTATATTGGAAAATTTGCCAGTTTTGTTTACTCATTTCAACAACCTTGATAACGTGGGTGAGCCTTATGAAATGTTGCCTAAAGGCCTTTTAAACTGTATGCGATTTGAATGGTCGTTTCGTCTCCTGTAGTTCCGCCGTCAATTTGTTGGTCGTTTAACGATTCAAAACATCCGTCAATGCGATCGCTTGTTTCTCCTCTAATAAAAGTATGCATTTGTGTATTTTGCATAATTAACCGCTAAAAAGGCTTTATAACAGATTCCTTGATCGTTAAAACTAGGGTATAAATGGTTAAATACGCGTTACTGTGGTCACGCTTTTATCGTAATAGACGAGCAGAGCCATTTCAATGGCTCATTTATCAACCGGAGAAGTGGCGGCGCCGATTTTAGGTATTACAGTCCCAGAGACAAAAATGGTGGGAATCGATGATGTGTACGCTGCCGGAGTACGCAGCGGCGAGCTGGCTCAGGACCCTCTGGCTCTCGCGCGCTTTGTTGCCTCCCGTGTGGTTGCCTTTGGCCAACATTTTCTTCTCATCGACAAGCCGTCCAACTTCTCTGTATGGGGGCATGCTCGTTCCGCCTCACCTAATTTCACAGTGCGTACGTCTTTTTTGCCCTTCTCTGTTAAAATCTAACACTTATGTTTTATCAGCCGTATGTGAACTTCATTTTACATTAAATATATCTAGCTCACCATCCGTCTATCAGCCTATCTGCCTATCTCTTTTTTAAAGAGTCCAAGGCCCTACGTACTCGGGCTCATAAACACTTAACTCCCGACTTGTTGCACCTCTGATATACATCGTCGCATTACCCGCGGACTCTAGAGCTCCTAGTCCATTTTTTTAAACACTGTAACATCCTGGCTATTCATGGACTTATCCGTCTTTGTCACGTTCTTATATACCCTTGTAACCTTTCTCTCCATTACTTTCTTTACTTTCCGACTCATTCACGTTTTTTGCTTGAGGTCATTTTTCGTTCATTCCTCAACACCTACTTGTCTTCCATTTTCCTTCCGCATTATAGAACCTGCTTGTGTCTATCAACTCTGTCCATTTGGTCACATGAACGGCTTCTTATCAATCCACATGCACATCTACTTGTTTGTTTGAATCTATTGCTTCGTAAATGTCCAGCAACCCATCCATCTATATTGCCAAACTTTTTAAAATATTATTGAGTCCCTCTTCCATTGATTCATATTACTTGATTGAATATCTGTTCAAATTTGGCGTGCCTGCCCAAGCGATCTGTCAGTGTAACTTTTCAACTACTCAAACGTTCGCTTTACACCCATATCTGCTTGCATACTCAATTGTGCTTTAGGTTTTGGTTCAGCAATACATGGGAATTTTAAGCAGTAAATCTTTGGGAAACTCACTTTTTGTCATCTGGCGAATGGTGTTGGAAGATCGCTAGAAAACAGCTTTAGAGGAATAAATACCATGGTTTTGAAACTATCATGAAAACGACGTTTCTAGTCGAAAACTGGAGAGGATCACCTCTTAAGACTGTCAAGGCTTTGGGGTGCATTAATTAAAAAATCATGCAAATTGTTTTTCTCCCTCTGGTTACTCTTCTTTTGCTCTCGAGGTCGCATTGATTCGAGATCCATTTATTCCCTCCTCACATACAAAATAGAATGAATACTTTTTCTAGAACTAGTCACATTACCACCCATTCATTGAATTCGGGAGCGATTTTGTCTTGCCATTTTTGAAGTATATTCTTTCTCATGCGTTTCCTCTCCCCTATCAGGCCACTCAATGGTAGTTTGTGGGTCGTGCAATGTGAAAAACAATTGATATTGTGCGTCCTTTGTAGCTCAATCATTCGAAAGATGTCTGTGACACGCAACATTTTTTTTTGAAAATGCAAACTAAGAACCTGGAAATCACCTGTGAGACCCTCAAGGGCAGCTGAATAGGCACTATTGTTGTTCATAACCACTTATACCTCTAATGTGAATTCAGTACTTTGAAACGCTTAAGCTTTGCGCTTTTGAATAGTCTATTTATGCTTCCGTCACACATGATTTTCTAGGGCTCTGAAACGTCACGAACAGCTCCTCTGAGTCTTCGTGAATGCTTACCACACCTTAAATCGCTGTTGGCTGAGGAGGGTACAAAGGCATTCACCCTACCTTCAGTGGACGGTAATTGTAACCAAGATGACAAACCGCTGTCCGCTCTGATAGCGGAAAAGGTGCCGCGCAGCTTATCTGAGGCGTGGATACCACCATCAGATCTCTTTATTGTTGAACCTCTTCCCGCTACCTACTCTGGTATTATTCTTCTTGCCACCTCGCCTGCTTACGCTGAATTTGCTCGTGCATTTTACTTCAACGCTGCTCGGAACTGTGTAGGTCTATGATGACTTCTCATCCACGCTCTTACCGCTTATTTTCTCTCCCTTAGTTCCCGGGTTCTATGTATCAAACCTTTTACGTGGTCTCATGGGGTCAGCCGTCGCGAGAACATGTGGCGTATGAACGATTCCCTCTGGCTGTTCATAAGGCCTCTGATTCGATTTCAGTCGCTTATAGGTGTGGTCGTACTTATGTCAGAATAATCGCTTTTTTAGACCCACTGACGACAAGATAACTGGAACTGCACACAAGAGGGGCAGATTAATGTACAAATACGTGAGTCATCGTCTCATCTGTCGTGGCTCAGGAAAACATTTTGGATGCCTGATTGAGCTTACGTGCAATAGCTGTTATGCTGGTTTGCCCGAGGTCTACCTCCTCCACGAGGGCTGTGAAGTGGTGGGTGAGGATCTGCAGGTGATTTTGCGACTTTACTGCATCATCTGCACTCAAGATTTAAGTAGCTCGTATTATTTCGCTAATATTTTAGGCGTCGAGATTAGTGCATTCCTCGGGCATTCCTATGGTTCTGTCACCCACGATGGCCCGGCTTGGGGCTCCACTGCCAAAGGAACTAGTGAAAGCCTTGGGCAGGAAAGACCTCCAACGAGCCACTCTACCAACCCACATACATCGCAGCGAACTTCTCATCCCTCCTCCCCTTCTTTGTGGCCCTAAGGGGGACGCTTTTACGCGAAGAGCTAAAGAACCTATGGGGTGTATTATCAGCACACGAAAAGACAAACCAGTTTTATCGTGGAAGTCTTTTCCTGTTAATGCGAAAAAAAGTGTCTTTTTCCTATCGGCTGTGTTGCCTTCCCTGCCTTCCTATTTCATTCGGACCTTGGAGGAACTTGGCCTTGATTCAACGTATCCGTTTACAGTAGTCGAAAATGTTCCTTCTCACTGAAACAATTGTATTTTCATTTGCATTGTATGACGCATTTTAATGCTTGGAAGTTCGCAGCACCTGGAATCTTTTCTTCCTTGCATACTCGAGCTATAACTGTGGACTGTATTTGGCTATGCTTCCTAAAAAAGGAGACAGGGGGGTTAGTCTGACCGACCAAGGATCTAAGTGGCTATGGTCTTCATTGCTCGCGTTTGTTTACTTCTTGAAACCCTGGTTCTTAGTTACTATGCATGTGAAAAGCACATTGAACCTTTTGAACAAGGAGTAATTATTTTTTTCCTAAATTTGTTGTTAGTGAGTTGCACAAAACGCAAACAGTCCAGTGTCAATTCAGGGATATCAAAGTTTAACAATGAGCGTGTTTTGCGCTGTCCGTGCAGTGATGGCAGATCTGTAACAGCGCAACAGTGAGTCAGGAGTGAATTTGTTTAAAATCCATGAGGCAACTGTTTGTGGAGGCTTCAATGACGCAGAATTTGATATCATAAAAGCGGCGAGGGGAACTGATTGCTTCACTACGAAATCTTTTGCATCAGAAGTCGTGTAAAAGCATGGAAAAAGGATGTTAAAGTTCTTTCACCTAGAATAAGCGGTTCACTATAGGAAGCTTGGTAGTCTGCTGTTTTGTTCCGATCGATCTGAGGCTACGCTCCGGGCAAATAAGTGCCAAGGTTCCACCAGGTTTACACTGCCGGAGAGCAAATGCTCCACAACTCTACACCAACCGCTGTGACTAGGAATGCTTGTTCGTGGAAAAGTATTCGGCAAAAAAATGTAAAATGGGTTTAATTGACTAATAATAAGCACCCATTTCTAGTGCATGCTAGCCTAAGAAGTGGAAGAAACTTCGTGAAGGATGCTTTCAAATCGTCCAGCTTTGACGCTCCCTCAGTCATTAACGGATCTTTAGCACATAGAAGTCGAGGTAGAATTTGTAATGGGAATTATAATCCTTACTAGAGGCCCTCAAATACGACCGGATCGTAGGTGCAGAGAGGGTCTTATGACTATTTGCAGAAGTGAAACCTCATTATTAAGAAGCGACTGAATACTTGACAAACAAAAGGCGCGCACAGATAGATACCTTTTAAACACCTGCCCAGACACAGCCCCCATTGATGATGACTTTTCAGTAATGTCTCGAATCAGCATTCTCCAGCCTTCATTCACCATATTCTGCATTCCACCGTTTTATTGTGAGTACTGAAATAAGTTCTCGAACTGTGTCAGCGCATGGACACCACTTTAATTGCTTGTAAATACACTAGTTTAAGGAAAACAAACTTTACCAAAAAATTGTCCTTGGTCTTATCCCAAGAGCAGCGGTCTTATTTTTCTGCAGCCAAAAACTTTATTAGCAACTTCCGGCTTTCCTTTGCTTAACATCATTACTGTGAGAGTCCCCGTCCTCAGTTTTGGAACCCCTTAAAATTGCATTGCATTGCATTTCTATGATTCTTTTGAAGTGCTACCCAAGTGTGAAGTCCATGCCCGATCAACAAATGTGGGTTAAACTTGCCATGCAGGCGGAAATTTTTCGGCCATGTGGATGGCAATGCATCTAGCCTAACTATTCCTCTTTCAGTCCTCCAAATGGACAGGTGTCCACTCATTAAGGCACAAATGTGCGATTTTTTTATGGTACCCAGTCGTAAAGCCAATCCGGCATTTAACGACCCTCTAAAAATCAGTGGTCAACTCCCCGGTAGGCAGCTGCTTTTGTTGCCAGTGAAAAAGGCCACACTACTGCCATCACCGTTCTTTATTAACCTACTTAGCCCTAAAACAAGTTTTGTTGAAGCTTAAAACCTTCTAAGGTTGGCCATATTTACGTAATTAATAAGGCATTTTAGGGAGAAAGTTTTGTACCTCTAACAAAGGTGACTTTAGCAGAGTCCCGCACAGTGCGGCGAGGGAGTTTTACAGGCCGCTACAATAGTTTGCACGGTGGGAATGCGGGAAGCTTTCCAGATCAAATCCAGTATTTATCTCATGAGATACTACTGTTGCTGTGCCACACACAGAAGTAGTGAATGTGCCCTATATCACTAGTGGGTACCGGCCAGTCCAGACTAGACGCCGTTAATCAAGATGGTAGGCGTGAATGCAGAAATGCATGGCAATTAAAGCTTATACCTTGGAGCTCTGCAGCGCTCTTCAGGAGTTGTATTTTCATGCAAGTGAAAAGCGCAATAACTCGTTTTAGAGGTGGAAAGGTCCGCTTCGTGCTAACGGACAAGCCTTCGCCTGTGTTTGCTTTAATGCACTTTCATATTCATTCTCGATTCCGCCTTTTGGTAACTCGCCAGCTTGCTTGCCAATTGCAAAATTGCCGTTCCTTCGTTCTTCGCTAGACTAACCATAATTTATGAATCCAGAAGAGGTGAAAAGAGAAAAACGAGGAGGACTAGAGGTGTACCGCCTTTTAGTGTTAATTAGCGGAGAGCGATCATCCTATTTAAGCTCCAGCAAAGGTGGTCTCAGATGACCCTCCTGTGCCACCTGGCCAATGCTAGCACTTCTGACTGAGGAGTTGATAGTATGGTAATGCGTTACCAGCAAGCATCGCACATGATGACTAGCTGATCAATCCTCTCTCCACACAAGTTGTGACTCGAGTATTTAATTTTATGTTAGTTGAATATTTGGAGAACAGCAAAATCATAACTGGGGGTTTGAGTAGTTCATGTAAAAGTCGCGATTAGAAGACTACCCGTAAGGTAGTTAAGGTAGCGATGATACTGAAGTAAGAATTAAGCTTTATTTCGCAGTAAAACCGCCATTTTTAGTTAACTAATTATTGGATCCGTAGCCATGACTAAAAACCTGTATTTTAAACGCTTTTGTCGCCATTGCAGCTAAACAAGGATACCTTTTGCAATTCCAAAGTAGACGTAATTTTAGAGTTATTAGTTGTGCAACATCTTTTAGAGGTCTCGGCAACGCTACGAAATGACATTGAGGCTGTGAATTCACCCTTTGTCTGGTGTAAATAGAGCAGGAACGGATGCGCTCGGGCACAAAATGGCTTGGAAGCTTGAGGACTACTCGTACCGCTCACATCTTTCAAGGATTATGAGTGATTAAGACTAATTCGCCTTAAATTTTCCTAATGGGCATTTTGTTTTAAAGCGGACCTCCCAAACACCCAATGCATTGTCTTCAAATACTGGACGCTTTTCAATTACTAATCTTCGACCACAATCTTGTAGTTAAATGCTTCGAACCGATTCTACCACTATATTGTTTTTACATTGGAAGCCACCTTCAAATTCAATGCACTTTCTCAACAACTTAATCTCAAAGTTGTTCGATAAACAGGTATTCAGCCAAGCGCAGTGATCGCACGTTTGCAGGACGAAAGATGTCAAAACTACGGAGTTCTCGAATGAACAATGAAGGAAGGCATAAATTTTCCCATGAGCAAGTTTCCAAAACACTGGAGCGGTCCAAGCGCGCATTACAAAGGTTTTTTGCAGCCCAGGAGTATGCTTTAACTTCAACTCAGCCAACACACTCATGAAAGACACAAGGTCTCAACAACAGAACAATTACCATGTAGTCTTCCTTCTATCCTCCTCCTTTTGTCGAGATACGCTAAAGTGTCATTCTGAAGGGGAAATACGGAACACTTTGGTTTCACTCCGATTAAGCACGAGCAAGTCAAACAGCACAGATGCTATCTCGTGCTCCCGGTTGGGTGGAATTGAATCCAGCCTTTCATAGCATTGCTTCTATAGTGTGGAAGGGAATTATCAACAGCCTCCCTAGTTCATTACTGCGAATTCAATAAACTCTCCTGAATAGGGCAAATCATTACAACAACAAATTCCTGGCCAAAACTCCAAACTAATGTACCAATATGCTAACAAATTAATTTTGTAAAAGGTGCGATCGTCCAAATAAGACCTGCAATGGACTAGCCGCACATTTAGAGCAGCGATTTTCATTCACTCAATTTACAAGCTAGAAGAAACATGCTGCAGTAAAATGTTAGTTGCACTAAGCTCTTCCATCTCGGCGACTTGGACCCCATTTTGGAGTCACAGCATCCCGTCCATGCTCGTCCCCAACTCTCTCTTCTGTGTGCCATTAATAATAAATTTTATTCTCTAACTGTATGTCTTGTGCGGCCTTCAGAGATGATTCGATGCTCCACAGTGGTAGTGAGCATAAGGAAACCTTATCCAAATAAATAAAATTCGACCATCTTTGAGTGGATAACACATTTAAACTACGTGAAATAGAAGACAATTTAAACTAGGACTAAACAATGAAAACACAAGAAATACATGAAATAAGAACCTTTCCCAAATGCTTACAATTTGCGCTTGCAAATGTAGATGCAACGACTCCTCGTAAGATTTCCACAAAAGAAATGTTCATTCACCAAGAATTTAGCACACAAACAGGACTTGTTATGAAATCGTATGCGTAAAGGGCAAGAGTAAAATTTCGATCTCTCCTATGCAGTGTTCAACCCATGGCATGATAGAACCGCAATTTCCCTTTCATTTCTCACCCCAAAGGGTGCCATTGACGGGATACTACAGATGAGTTGAGCCAAGGGCTGAAATCGCATGCAAGTCATTTCTCTAATGAACGTTCAAGAACGTTTACTCGACCTTAACCTTGTTTTCTGTATTGAGTAAGCTTATTACATATGCATGGAGGACTTAAAGGACTACCGTATTGCTTCAACAATATTTTGGTCTTCGTTTTGATCTTACAGGTGTCTGTGCACTTCAACAAGGCAAAGTCAGAAGTCCCACCAGGATGAGATGCTTCCACACACAGTAGTAGTCCAACTTTCGCGTTTAGGGGATAATCGAAGAACTGGAGCGCTACACTCCTAATCCACGTATTTGCTTGTGTCCGAAACTGCATTCTGCCTTCCATACGGGTTTGACTCATTGTTCACATTTCATTCATTTAATTTACTATGTTTCATTTCTACGAATGGGGAGCCTTTTTTCTTGTCACTGTTCACCAAGTAA